AGTGTTGGAGTGGGCCGTCATGAAGGGGTTACAGATCTGACGTTATCGAATGTTGAGGTCCTGAGCCGGCGTTGTGTCACCCATGGTGTTTGAGAACGAGGCAGGTCACGTGTTTTTCTTTGTGCCCAGTGACGGTTCCAAAGTTTCTTTGAAGAGTTCAGTTGTCTTGCCATGACTGATTGGCCAATGCAATTATTTATTTGAGCCAGTAAGTCTTATCATGACAACAACGTTCAATGTCCGTTGGATACAGCCTCTAGTGTGACTAGGTTTTGAGAAATTCATGGGACTTTCATTGTTTCTTTAACATTTAATTTTGTTTAAGTTATGTTGCAATCGTGATATTGTTAATAATAACAGGAGAGCAGAAGGTCCGGGGTTTGATCCCTTGGACGCATCATACCAACATTAACTATTTAGTTCCATTTAGGACCAGTGAGGAACTCAAACATGTTTGGCTCGGTGTCAGTACACTGTGTCTCGGTGGTGTATTCATGTCAAATTACGGCATCGTATCTCATTGGGCTAGCACTTTAAAACTGGCGTAAGTCCAACTGGTGCAAGCAGCCACACACACACACTGACTCTCAGGAACTCACACACACACTGACTCACAGGAACTCGCACACACACTGACTCACAGGAACTCAAACACACACTGACTCACAGGAACTCACACACACACTGACTCACAGGAACTCGCACACACACTGACTCTCAGGAACTCACACACACACTGACTCACAGGAACTCACACACACACTGACTCTCAGGAACTCACACACACACTGACTCACAGGAACTCGCACACACACTGACTCACAGGAACTCGCACACACACTGACTCACAGGAACTCACACACACACTGACTCTCAGGAACTCACACACACACTGACTCACAGGAACTCACACACACACTGACTCACAGGAGCTCACACACACACTGACTCACAGGAACTCGCACACACACTGACTCTCAGGAACTCACACACACACTGACTCACAGGAACTCACACACACACTGACTCTCAGGAACTCACACACACACTGACTCACAGGAACTCGCACACACACTGACTCACAGGAACTCACACACACACTGACTCACAGGAACTCGCACACACACTGACTCACAGGAACTCGCACACACACTGACTCACAGGAACTCACACACACACTGACTCACAGGAGCTCACACACACACTGACTCACAGGAACTCGCACACACACTGACTCACAGGAACTCGCACACACACTGACTCACAGGAACTCACACACACACTGACTCACAGGAACTCACACACACACACTGACTCACAGGAACTCGCACATATACAAATACACACACATTCATACACACATATGCACATACTCAAACACACACACACACACAAACACACATACACACAAATACACACTCAAAATCATACACACAGACATACACGTACACCAACGAACATGCATTTCACTAGTGCAATAATTTTGAACCAAAGATTAAAACCCATTTAAATTTATGTCACAAAGACTCATCACAGTGTTGAACACCTCAAGTGACTACAACGAATTGTTTTCACGGGCGTATATCCTTCTGTTCCGGGGATATTCAACAGATAGTACCTCCGACCCAGGGATATTCTATAGAAAGCAGGTGTTCTAGGGATACTCTGTAGAATGTCCCTCGCTACGGAACCATGTAAGCGAACCCATGTGAGGAACCATGTAAGCTGTAGTTCTTCTGTATATTTCAGTGGAATGAACTTGTAAGCCACATATGTGCAGCCTAGTGAGTGAGCCATAAGCTACAGAGGCACCGATCAGCCGCATTGCGACGGTCAGTTTAAGATAACCGACAAGAAAAGTTTAGAATTGCTTTTTCAAGTTACTATAGACCAGCAAGAGATATTGAACCCCGTATCCTCGGGTTCATTTGTTGATAAATGTTGTTTCTATCGATTTCTTAAACTGCCCGTCGGGTTTTTATGATATTTCACTTATAAATATCACTAAACACTTTCGGACGTGTTTCATATTACACATATTATATGAATTCAGAAACCAACACAATCATTTTGTATCAGTATCAGATCAAATCTATTTAACGCCATAATGATGTCATCTAACCTAATACCGGAACACACCGCAGAATATCGACTCAGTACATTCCCACAACTGTTTCGAATTCAAACAACTAATAAAATTTTGTTGTGATCAACAGTTGTCATCGGGCATGGCAGAATTGTTGGACACGTGCAGCACAAGTCGGCAACAGTGTCATCCCTGATTTTCCGTGTGTAATGTTGCAGTGTATTTTGGAACTTCATTTCTAATGATAGGAAATGGTAAATTGTTAAAGGCACTTGTACAATTTTTACCTTGGTAGTGACTTTGATATAGAGTGACCTCCCTTGGGTGTTTACATTCCGCTTGTTTACAGTCATCGTAACTTCTGGAAATGATGTTTTCGATGTAGAGGCCTCTGAAAGGCGTACTGTACCTACCGTGTCTACTCTGATTGATATGCTGCCATCTTAATGTCTCGGCAATCGTAAGCCACGTGAAGCGTTGTTGGAATTTGTTTTCAGCAACCCTTTTTTGTAAGAGACGACAAACGTAATCGGGCGGTCAGGCTCGCTGACTTGGTTGATGCACATCGTATTGTTCCAATTGCGTAGATCGATGCTCATTATGTCAATCACTGGATTTTCTGACTCAGACTTGATCACTTCCAGACCACCGTCATAATAGTTGGAATATTGCCGAGTGCGACTAGTGTTAATCAACAATCATTATGTCATGAATCCTACCTCCTACCTCATGTCAGCACATTTACAGAAATATTTCCTTTATTTCCTGGAGTGACTTATGCACATACATGTATGTATAGCTATGTTTTGTATATGCACATATGTATACATATCTTAGCCTCATAGCCTCGGTATGGTAGCATAGTAGTTAAAAGGTTATCACTCTGTTTTTCCCCGAGTTTGTTTCCCCACATCACGAGTGCAATGTGTGAACTTAAAGCGCACCCCCGATTTGATATTTGTGACATTTGCAAAAGGCGGTGTAGGCGTAGAATATTACTTATCATCATTATTACAAAGTTCCCCTCATACATGTGTCAAACGGCTTATTCACACACAATGATGCCAGCTATGGTACTGTGAGTGAGATGTGTATTTCGGGAGCTGTCTAATCTAGAAATATTGTAATTGTACATATTGTTTTGCCATGTTCATTTGAGTCCCTACATGGACACCTATCTGTTCTTGTACTAAGTTGCATACAAAACCCAACTCTGTGAAATCATGTGAATTGTCCCAATGGTAATCAACCAAGGCGAAGCTCTTTTCGAATCATTTCGAAGTTTTGGTTTGAACTGTTAAACAAGCTATAATGCATTGTCTGTTGCCGACGCACGCACACCCACACCCACACACATGCACTAACTCACATGAACTCAAACACACACAAACAGACACAAACTCACACACAAAGACATACATACACACACACGTTCATACACACACATACACATACACACAAACTCTCTCTCTCACACACACACACACATGTACCACTCGCTCACTCACTCAGTCCACCCACCGTGATGCATCTGGACAATTGCTCTTAGGTGCCGTTTATGAGAACAACCTGAGCGATGCGACTGTCGTTAAGCTATGTTAAGGTATGGGAGTTACGATCAACTTTGCGCTAGGCCCGCTTTGTACAACGGCACCCTGGGCTCTGTTTCTCAAGGCCATCCTACCTCTGAGACTAATTTTTTGTGAAAAAAGATTATTAATCACGACACTGAGATGTCTTTTGGAATGTACATCAACTTGACATTTTTTATGAGACGATCTGTAGGCGATGTATATTATTCATGGCTTACGTACTTTTAATTAAAAAGAGGGGGCTGTATACGTAGCGGTTAAAGCGTTTACTCGTCATATCGAAGATCCGGCTTCGATTCTGCAGATGGGTACAGTGTCTAAAGCCAATTACTGTTGTCCCCCGAGGTAATATTGCTGGAATATTGATAAAAGCGGCGTAAACCAAACTCACTCACTCATGAATCGATGCCCCCGAGTCATATCAAGTCACCCAAAGTCACTCAAAGTCTCATGCTTCTCAGTGCAGTCATATGGCGCCCGTGTCACTCAGCGGGGTGGCGGGGATTGTTCCCGCTGTCAGTATAGGAGAACGAGAACGAAACGTCGCTGCCACAACCTTGAATGCAGATTGATAAACACGTCTGTATTTAGCACACGTTGTTCCAGTTGCATAGCAGCTCGTCTCGACTGTGGAGTCTTCCACACGTTTCTCCGTGTGACAACACAGTGAATAGATGTCGACGGTTTATGTTCATTGCTGACTATAATCACTTTTTCATTTGGGGTTAGTTTGAGAAAGAATAGGACAATGTGTATTCTCCTAGGAAATGATTCCGTAGCATTTGTTTACTCAAGACGTTTAGCATAGTCAGGACATTTAGCCCATATTAATTTACTGTGTATAATTTGAATAACGTTTTCCCCATAATTGTTTTGAACAGTTTATTGTATTAAATGTATTTTTATAAGTGAATAAACCGTCACCACATCCGTAACAGTGAGGGTCTTGGGTTAAACAGTATTTTAGTTATATAACAATCTGTCGGCTTGGTATGAAAGGCAATCTCGAAGTGTTGCTGGTCTCAGACGTTTGTCAAGCATGGTATGATGCTGACAAACCATGAAATGAATAATCAGGGCGAGTCAGGAATCAAATCAAAGGGAGTCAAATCTGCACAGCAAACTGGCCACCCGTGCACCCTCGCAACAGTAAACAAACATAAACCACCTGAATGTCTGGAGTGTAACTGACTGACAGCCCAAAGTGCGTCGGCCTATTCAAATGTAAAATGCTTTGTGAGTCATAGGTGAAACTCGCACTCTGAGCGGTAATCTATTTTGGCGCGTATGAAACGTACATTATGTACGTATATATAAGCTGATCCTCAGTCGGAATTAGTTGACGTGCAGTTGTCGTGTCTGTGACGAGCACTCTCCTTGACATGGTCTAAACTCAAGAAGAAGAATTGTGTACCACAAACTGGTAGCCTAGTCTCGCTGTGATGTGCTTCAATCTCTTTGGTGGAGACGTTTGGGGTGAGTGTTATATGATTATATATCGGCCTGGTGTGCTAGTAATGACAATTCATACGGAACAGTAAGCATGGCCGTAATAGGCTAGCCGTCGCCCCAGACACTCGCGTACATGTGTGCAGGCCACACAACTTGTCGTTTACAACTTGGGACAGGAGAGTAGCTTAATATGTATGATAATTATGGTTTCTTTTTCACCTGTGTCCTATTTGAGATAACAAATGTCAAACATGTGTGTAAGTTCCGTTGTTGGCTACAAGCTTATAAACCACAATTGAAAATATCATAATTGCAATAGAGTGAATATCGGCTCACTTGTTAGTTAGGAATATATAGTAAGATTCCAGTTCAAATGCCTGTGATACGACCCCTTTAATACTCTTTTGTTATCGCAACCAACACGTTCCTTAAACAACAGAAGCGTGCATTGCGGGATGATCCCGTTTTTACTAGTGTGGATTAATCAATAAAGTTTGGGCGTTAACTCCTTGAATCACAACCCCGCCCCTCTGGATCCACCACCGATGATGTGTTCAGCTATATTCTGTGTCTAAATCTGGATGGTTTTGGCCAAGACCAGTAGAATGCATGTGATAAGCAAAATTATTCCTTTGCATGATGTGTATCAACTGATGTTTCACTGATCCCCTGCCGAGACGTTGTGCGACCTTTTCACGAAATCAGACAGTCAGGTGTTTAACTTGATCCAGAATAAGAGGAGGTTGTCTTCAAAGCAAAGAGTAAATAATTCAGGTGTCAACAAATTATATGTGTCATTACATAGCCAACATGGTTATTTACAAAGAGGTTTTCACGCGAGTGTTTTAGTGGATGGTATTTACCATTCTGTGCATCCCAAATCTCTGTCAGTCTCTCATAAACGTTATGTTAACATTGCAAGTTGTTCTGGAATGTGCAGAGTAATATATATTACGTCAGAGGTATGTGATGTGTCAGTCGGACAGTGACAGTAGCCACTACAGTTCCAACTGAAACCTGTTTGTTAAACAGTAGTAGCGTAAGTACATATAAAACAACAATTGCCTTCACAAATTGTTCTTACTTGCCTATCGCGGCAATCCACCGGTCTGTCCGATAGAGTGACTGCCCTTTATCAAAAGGAAGGTACTCCGGCCCTAGTCTATGGGACGTCAGTGCCTCAGTATGACATCGTTGACAGTCGGCCTATAGTACGATGTTCATTCAGCGACAAAACGAAACACGTTTCGGAAAAATCCCACTGTTTTAATTTGGGGAAAAGGTTCCAAGGCGCAGAGCTCTACAAGCACCGATGTGGAAGCTGATCCCGCTAAGCTAGTGTTCTCGCCAATTGTTTCTCTATTTATATCTCCAAAATTGCTAAAGCTCTTTAAATGCTTTATCTCCGTCAAAGTTTAGATTAGACACTTCTTTTGATAATGATAGACATTACCCCGGTAGTTTCACCAGATTCCCAATGCTTAATTCTCACTCGATCGCTGAAAAACAAGGGCGACGCCACGTTTGTTTATAAACACTGAAAGTAGTCCCACTAGAACTTTGATATTTGCATCTCTATCCGCATATGACCCTGACGGTTATCGTTTTTATCTGTTGGCATTATCCTGCTGAGAAACCTATCCATTAAATGATAAATTGAAGTCCACAACACTTTCAATAAATTCTTATTACAATATCCATATACAAACACAATTAACCTTAGTGTCAAAGCCATTGGCCCATATCATTTTCCCTTCGCCCAGTCCTTACTATAATGTTATAACCCTACACGAAGTCTCAATTTCCACTTGCTCTGAATCTGCAATATCATCTCGTCGGTGAAACTCAAAAATGCAAAGTGTATATATTTAGTTACTGCCTCGGCAGAGAGACAGTCCGAATAAATTGAAATTTCTTTTTGTGTGCTCGTAGTGTTCAGGTATTTTGATGTGCGTTCTTACTGTTAAATTGATTATAGGTATAGAATAAACTTGAGAAGCTATTGAAATTGTAATTGAAAAGAAATGACAGTCAGATATAAAGCGTATTTCAATCATTACAACGCTGTCTTTTGAAACGCAGAAGGTAGTCGGATCGCGAGCCGATTTGCTTTTCAGCCAGGACGTATCTCACGCCCGGCTATGACACCAGTATTACTTGTGTTAACAAAGGAGAACACATCGAAGTTCCGTTGAATTTTCACTCTTTGAAATATAGCATGTTTGCAACTTTGCCCCTTCTATTTGCTATTCAAAAGATTCATAATAGCAGATGAAAGTGTAACCTTGACAATTTGATTTCAACATTGATTATTTGTTTCTAACACTTCTATTTACACGTCGCTATATAAGTGCAATAATCTTGGACGCGACGTTAAACCCAATTTCACCTCACCTCACCTCTATTTACATGTTGTGATGTGACAACACCAAACAATTCAAATTGTAGTTGTATACTAGTATCTCAAATGACAACATATCTTAATGAACATCTGTGTCTGTGCGTGACGATACTCGCGTTTTCCCTTTTGGGTTATATTTGAGTATGAATAACTGTGAATGAGTTTTTTAAATTTATTTTTCAACGTAATCTCTCTGCTTTTCAATACATTTCTCATATCGATAGTGAAGCTTTTCAATTCAAGTCAATACGAAGTTTTCTGAAGCCACCCTGAAAACCCATTCACGGCAGCTTTGAGGGCATCGTTGTCGCCATAGTGCTTTCAACATAGGTGTTTAGTTTTAATTAGGAAATAGGTTGAAATCACTTGGTGCCAGGTCTGGCGAGTATGGAGGGTGAGGAAGCTCTCCGAAACAACGCTGTCGCACAACAGTCTTTGCAAGTCGAGAGATTTCGTTATCCATTTGGTCCCAAATCACTTTCAACTGGCTGTAACTAAAATACAAACGGCCTCAAAAGCCAGCGTTGTCGCCATAGTGCAATGACACAGCACAGTAAGTAAGGTCAGGGGCGTAAACACAGCGTCCGTCCGTTTGCACTGAACATGCAAAATCATCTTCTTTTAATTTACGTTGGACGTGATATCACCTTTTATATTTTAACAAGATGACATAAATGCAGTGCACTATACACCCACCAACGTTTGCATAACCAACCAACAAATCATGCAATAATTAATGCTTATTGAAGAGACCATAAAAAAATATTTATTTCATGGTCTCTATTATTATTCATATGGCTATTGTCCTTCGTAGGACATTTCCTTTGACAGTACACCATATGTAGCAAGTAGAAAAATGTTGTAGAATGTTTTATATATCTTTTGCCTTAGGGCTCGTGGTGGATTCATGTCAAAACGGACCTGTCAAAACGCCAAATTAACTTCCATATTTCAACAAGAGGACATTGTTGCAGTGCATTGACGTTACGTCACCAATGTTTGCAAGTAGGAAATTAGGCGTCCATAAAATTGGCCAACCAACCTATCAAGTTGTGATCAATGCTTATTTCAACATCAACTTGCGCGATTTTTTTATGTAGAGTTTGTCGTTAAATTTGGGAAATTTGTTTTGACACAACATATCCTTCCTTCATTGATATGATAATAATTAAATTTTCGTTGTGTTCATTGAAATTCCTGTATTCTGATTAGTTGAATTGGTCACGTGTTATTGCATTCATTTCCCAATGTTAAGCTATTGTAGATAAAACGTGTTTTGTGCTGTTGAATTCAATTATAAGCATTGACTCTGTATTTCTTTTAGGTTCATTGAGGTATGAATCGAAAAACCAATGTGCAAACTTTTGTAAGAATCTGCTACGCGGATTCATACAGTTTGCACATTGATTTTTCGATTCATACCTCAATGAACCGAAAAATATGCACAGTCAATTCTTAAATAAAAAAACAAACTTGGCCTGACATTTGTTCCTCATCTGTAGTTTCAATATTTCAGAATAAACAATCCTTATGTACATGTATTTGCATAAGACTGACAATCCATAGGAAACAGGCAACAGTAATGCACAATTTATATCCCAAAAGTACATATTTCTTTTATAAAATATTTTTTTATTAAATATTTCTCAGATTAGACTAAAATTAAATATATCTTACTCTCTTTTTGTGGCTCAGACAAATGCAGTTCCTTTATTATATTTGGAAATAACCAGAAGAAATAATGACAATATTATAACCAAGAATGTGAGATCACTTTAAAAATAGTTTCTTCAATAACATAGTATTGTGAATACATACATGTAGAGGTTATCACGACAATGGTTTGGAATGATTTATAGCTTGTTTGGGGCATAAATATTGTTTTAAGCCAGCCATGGGTATTTATGGCTACTTTATTATTATTTACTGAAACTGTAATGAAATTTGGTACATTAACCTTGGGGCCAAAATGTATCTTCAGGATTGTTTTGGCGATACAGATACTATTTTATGCATTTCGCCAAATACCATGTACCCATCCAGTGAAGTTTGAAAACCAAATATTAAAGCTGTTTTGTGGCAAACCAGTGGGAAAGCACACAAAATCATGTTTACAACAAGGCGACAACCATAGCAAAAAATCAGTGACCCGCTTCGTCACAAGTTTGTGGTACTATAGTCAAACAAGAACATTTCAGACAGCATGGTGATATTGTTTTGTAATATGAATGTTTTGTATGACATCAAGTAGTCAATAGTAGTAGTCAAGTCAAGAAGGCAGTCAAACAGTCAGTGCCACAAGTTGAAAGGTTGTTTACTCATCTTGTTTTGTTCTGGTTTTACACTGGCAGATGAACCAAGGGAGACAGCTTTCAAGGGCGGTAAATGTGAATGAAACCAGGGCCATGAAAAAACTTCTATTTTTCTATTTTCACACTGGGTTTTCTTCATAACAGCGGAATATGACTTTTGATGAAACAAAAAACCTTTATAACTACATATGGCACACTCATGTATCTTTTGCAGTTATACTGAGAAGCTAGCACCGATTTGACAAAATATCCAGGTGAGATACAGTGCTGTGAGCATTTTCATACTTGATTCACTTATACCAAATATAAGGCTGTCCTCCAGGCAGACACTGTACATGTTTTTCTTGTAGAATGATGATGAGTTAGATGCCGACTTAGATTGAAGACACTGATGAATAACAAGAAATAGTGAAGAATGTTCAAAGATTGAATCAGAACGATCAAGGCCAGATGGATGATAATGACACAGAGTGTGGAGGATGTACACCAGCAGAGTGCCCTGGGAGGCACAATGACGGGGACACGTCATCAGACGGGGAAAACATGGACCTTGCAGGTATTCCCATGGACAACTCTCAAGGAACAACTGAAGGAGCAGGTTGTACTGCGGAGGGTGCAGAAAATAAAGATGTTGACGAAGAGAGTGCTGACGAATGCTTGTTTGATGACATCACAGATGAGGAAGAGGGGGAAGGAACAGAAGACTTGTCACAGCTTGGAGCAGGTACTGTAGAGGTCAAATTCCAGACTGTTCAACAAGAGTCATACCAACTTGTGGAAAAAGGTTTGCATGAAGCAATTTCACTTTTGAGCATCTCATTAATAATACACAAATGCTTAATTTGCGGGACGTTCATGACATTCCTTTTTTACAGTGAATTAAGGATGTCAGTAGCTGTTAAAGACATTTAGGTGTGCCCTGTGGAATTGAAGCATATGGACGGGAAAATATTTCTCAATTAATAAGATAGATACTAGTATTTTAAAATCCTGCTCAATTACTGAAATTAACATGTGCTTTCCAAAGAGAAGCATTCCCCAAATTGCACCTGATTGACAACCACAGTAAGGTGTATCTGCCGGATAGTCCCGTTACTACTCAGTGTATTTACCCCTGCATTAACATTTTCAAGTACTGACAATAGTGTGCATATCAGTTTCGACAAAATCGTGTGGAGCTTCCACAATCTTTTGTCCAAATGTTTAACTAACTATAACTGTTTGTCACCACGGCTAGGGTCGTGATAATAAACCTATTGGGGATTTGGTATTAAACTACAGTTGCAAAACCAGATTTTTTTAAATGAACCTAAATATGTCTTACTTAAAAACACCTTGCAACAATGTAATTTTAATGTCAGACAATGTTTTTTTCAGCAGTATAGGGGCATATGTATTTTTTGTCAAATTGAATCGGAGCTAATGTATATTTTAGATATTGTTTTCAAATAGCTGGAAATCTAACTGTGACATGCTTGTTCCTTCGTAGATACCACGGCACTAGCACAACACATTGTTGGATGTTGTCAACCACTACAGGGAGAAATAGCGTCAGCACCACAGCAGGCGACACAACTCCAACCAGCTTCAGTTGATGATGTTGATCAGACAACAAGTCAGCAACAGCTGTCCTCAACTACAACTTGTGTAGTTCCTCACACAACCAATCTACAGGACCCGACAACAGCAGCCCTGACACCAGCGTCCACATCCTCTCTTCTACCCAGAATACCAGGATCTGTTGTATCAGAGATACAGTCGTCCGGGCTACCTGTGGCACAAGTGACTGGTGATTCTCCTGTAGGTGAGTGCTGATGGGACATGACTTATTGTTCAAATATCTAATATCTTCAACATGGTGTTTTCAAATGACTTTGCTTTTTAAGCTAATAGGCTCACTTTTTTTACAGGGAAGTCATTAACCCTATACAACCACTATACAAGGTCTAGCTCTGCTCAATTGCAGGTTTGCCACTTTCGAACAATCGTAACATGAAAGTCACTATTTACGAAAATAGGGCAACTAATATGAAGTAGCAGTTTGTTGTCTGTTCATGACAGTTGTCTGTTTTCAGTATCACATGAGGTATCTCAGTTCAAATATGGAAAACGGTCCTGAAAGCTTCAGTTTTATGGTTCCTGTTACAGTCACCCAGTACAACCTTTTCAAAGTACAGCAGCAGTTTGGAGATTTGACGGTCAATGGCGCCAGGAATCTGAACATTGGCGGACAGCAGAACGTTGGTACACCTCAGACCCGCCCGGAGGAAGAGGAGAAGCCATTGACTGTTGCAGCACGGAAGATCAGGAGTGTGTTATCTAGATCCATGTACTTGTTCTCACAATGATCGTTCAGCTTAGGCATATATATGTTGTAGAAAACGCTGGCTGTGATAATCTTCATACTTGTTCCAACTGTCACCTCGTGTACACAGTTCAAGTGTTCATGACCATAATTTACATCGAGTTTTGTGATGAACCTAGCAAAGTCCCTGAAGTATTATTTCTTGATCTCTGTTACATTTCACATTATGTTACATCCTTACAGGACCATATACAAATTGTAGCGTGTCGATATGATTTTTTCGTCTAAATCACTCAGATCAAATGTACGTTGGTAGGTTGTTCGGGCGTATTTGTATCTAGTGATACAACATATCCATTAGAAATCCATGGCAACTCCTAAGTACCTGGTGGATAAAATCAACAAATCAAAAACGTATGAATCAGAATTTCTGTTCTGTTCTGTTCTGTTCGAAAAGTGAAAACAAGGCAATTTGGCCAAGACTTTTATGTTAGGCTTCACGTATATTAGTGATCGGATATCAGTCAATGACCCTTTCACTGATTTAGCCACCTGAACTATAAATAAGGGAGACCAGTCAGACCGCCTGGACTGTTTTTCATATTTAGATATATGAATGAAGATGCTGAGTGACACAACACCTCTCCATAAGACTGTATGACAAGGGGAATGACTTCAACTTTCAATATTAAAATTTCCCATCATGTCTAACAGGTTACATACCCTCACCTACTTGCAAGGACCTGGTATCATCACTATTTGATAGGGATTCATAAACAGGTGCTTGTGATATATAGGCAGAATCATTCTGTGGACTGTTTCTTATGATTATCAAAACGGTTTTGTCACTTTAATTCTATACTTTGGTATTCTGGCTCCTTCGTTCATATGAACATTCTGTTATTATCCACAATCAGAACAGGTACTATTCAAACGTTTCTTAAACTGTCTGCTCTCTGGTTCAGAACAAATAACGTGCAGACCTATATCGAAAATAGAGAAATGCTGTGAAAAGCAGTGTTTCAATTTAAACAATTTGAAGGTGGCACATTCGATTCAAGAGGTTTTGTGCAAACTATTGATTGTACATTGACAATATTCAACATTCACAGGATGAATTTAGTATTGTCAAACCTCTTGGTGAAATTATGTTACTAATTTTTGGACAGTCCCTCTTGACATGATTTTATTTCATATAAAGTTTGTAAATATTGTAGTCACAATATGGATGAAAAATTGTTAAAATGTTAACTCACTCACTCACTGACACATTTCAAAATCAGGGATCTCAGAGTCCAACTGTATGTGATTGATATGGGCCACACTTTATTCCTTTAATTGAGGTCAAATTAAAATATGGCAGACTGTATACTTTTACACATATTTTTATAAAGTTTTATGTATATGCCTTTTTTTACAGAAAGAACGGAATCCAGGATTAAGTCAATGACTAAAGACATGGTGGAGACAGAAGCCCTGCAGAAAGTGATGGAGAAGCTGGACAGAGGAGCAACATGGGTGACAATTAAAGGAAGGCCAGGAGAGGGAAAGTCTACAATAGCCTACATGGCCCTCAAAGATCAGCACACTCAGGGGAGACAAGTGTATCAGGTGGTGTCACCAGAAGAGTTCAATGAGGTCATAACGGCCAGCACAAACCCTGTCATTATGTTAGATGACATATTCGGTGATCTAGAATTTGATGTAGCAGAATGGGCTAAGTGGAGACCAAGTTTACGACCTTTTGTGGATATGAAGGATCCAGACAAGACCACTGAAAAGGACTCTGTGGATAAGATCATGCAAAGTAAAAAAGAGAGAACAAAGGATGAGCAAACAATTCTAAAGAGAACAGCACCAAACAAAGGCAAAACGATCATTATCCTCGTAGGCCGTGACTATGTGCTGAAATCCTCACTAGCAGACTTGGGAAGGATGGCAGATTACATATCTAGTCCCCAGTATGTGGTGGAAGTTTCCTCACAGAGAGACTCTAATGAACGAAAGGAGATATGGCATGTTAATGCCAAAACAAAAAACATAGACTTTGATGAGTCAACCGTGTCTCGGATATGTCAATCTGACTGTCCACACGGTTTTCCCCACGTGTGTAAAATGTTTGTCACAACATATGAAAAGGATCTGACTCAGCTTCCAGCAGATGACTTTTTTCAAGCGCCTCTAGCATTCCTCAAACAGACCCTGAATAAATTTCTTAAAGATGAGGTAAAGGTTTCCCTGTTCAAGGCTATGATTAAAAGGGATGGAAAGATTAGTGGACAAGAGTTGGAAGAGGAGGATGCCCATGGATACAAATACATAACAGCTGCTGATGATTTGGCTGGATCTTACCTCAAGAAGGAAGATGACACATACATGTTTGACCATCCCTCTGTATATGACAGTGTCGCTTTAATTCTCAGCACAAAACAATCAAAGTTTGTCATCGACTTTTGTAGTTTGTCATTCATCCTTCAGCGACTTCGTCTTAAAGCCTCCACAGGACCAGGGGAAAACGTGCCTGGTGAGACAGGTCTTGTTGCAAACATCTCATGGAACTATGCTCAACATCTAGCAAGAAGATTTGCCACTGAAATTTCAAGGAGCAATTTGTTGCATGTCTTATCGCACCAGGCATGTTGTAATCCAGAGTTTATAGACTTGCTAATGGACTGCCTGAAGACACAGTGTCACATGTCTGTTTCTGATATTCTCAAACTAGCTGATAGCTCTTCAAAACAGTCATTTCTTGAATTAATTTCTAGCAGCAAGTCACATCATCTCATCAAATTTATTAGGAAGAAAGAAAACAGAACAATCAGCCAGAGTGAACTGAGAGACCTTTTACTTGGGACGTGCATGAATGCTGCTTGCAGTGTACTGACCTATATCAGTGAACACCATCAGCTTGAGATAGATGCTAGATATGATTCGAAGAAGAAAACGCCACTGATGTTAGCAGCAGAAACCAAGGACAGTGTGTTTGTAAATCAGATTCTGGCCCTTCACCCTGACCTGAATGCACAAGACGATGACGATCAAACTGTCTTTCAATACCTTTGCGCAAATGGTCTTACATCAGCTGTGGAACATGCAATCAACATGGGCGTGGATGTTAATGAGCATTATTCTCCAGATTTTGATATTTACCGAGGAGGACATTACCAACCCCCTGTATACCTTGCCATAGAAAATGGTCATGTTGGGGTGGTGGAACTGGTGCTGCAAAAAGGATGTGATATAGATAAACAGAGAGGTCTTGGTTGTGCATTGATAAGCCAAAACACGCATATGACGCGGTTTTTTTTAGACAGAGGAGCACAGGTTGACGATGATGCTGTGTGCATTGCTTGTGGGTTGACAAACTTGCGTATCATCAAGATGTTGTTTGAGGAGGGTGCAACAGTTGACATGATTTCATCTGATGGCGATACTCCTCTTCACAGTGCATGTGGAAGAAACCCTAATGTTGTCTTGTTTTTGTTGGAGAAAGGAGCAAATGTGAATGTCAAGAATGAAACAGGCAACACACCACTTCATGCAGCAGCATGGGATGGATATACAGAGTGTATTGACGTGTTACTGAAAGCTGGAGCTAAAGTCAATGCACAGAATAATACAGGTAACACACCACTTCATGAAGTAGCATGGAATGGATATACAAAGTGTATTGATGTGTTACGGAAGGCTGGAGCTAAAGTGAATGTACAGAACAATACAGGTGACACACCACTTCATACAGCAGCATGGTATGGATCTGCAGAGAGTTTTGATGTGTTACTGAAGGCTGGAGCTCATGTGAATGTACCGAACAATACAGGTGACACACCACTTCATAAAGCAGCAGGACGGGGATCTACAGAGTGTGTGGATACGTTACTGAAGGCTGGAGCTAATGTCAATGTACAGAACAATACAGGTGACACACCACTTCATACAGCAACAGCAGTAGCTCGGGATGGATCTACAGGTTGTATTGACGTGTTACTGAAGGCTGGAGCTAAAGTTAATGTACAGAATAATACAGGTGATACACCACTGCATGCAGCAGCAGCAGCAGCAGCAGTAGCAGCAGTATGTAAACAATCTATAGAGTATGTTGACGTGTTATTGAAGGCTGGAGCTCACGTGAACGTACAGAATAATATAGGTGACACACCACTTCATAAAGCAGTAGCAGAATGGGAAGGATCTGCAGAGTGTGTTGATGTATTACTGAAGCATGGAGCTAAAGTGAATGTACAGAATAATACAGGTGACACGCCACTTCATACAGCAGCAGCATCCGCCGTAAAAGCAGCATCATGGGGTGGATCTCCAGAGTGTGTTGATGTGTTACTGAAGGCTGGAGCTAAAGTGAATGCACAGAATAATACAGGTGACACACCACTTCATGAAGCAGCAGCATTATGGAATGCATCTACAGAGTGTCTTAAATTGTTACTGAAGGCTGGAGCTGATTTAAATGTACAGAATAATGCAGGGGACACACCCTTCTTATTTGAGCAGCCGCTGCAGCAGCAGCATGTGGTGGAACTACAAAGTGTGTTGATATGATACTGAAGCATGGAGCGAAAGTGAATGTACAGAATAATACAAGTGACACACTACTTCATACAAAGCCGCAGCAGTAGCAACAGCATCGGGTGGATCTACAGGTTGTATTGATGTGTTACTGAAGGCTGGAGCTGAAGTGAATGTACAGAATAATACAGGTGACACACCACTTCATGAAGCAGCAGCATTATGGAATGGATCTACAAAGTGTCTTAAATTGTTACTGAAGGCTGGAGCTGATTTAAATGTACAGAATAATACAGGGGACACACCCTTTTTATTTGAGCAGCCGCTGCAGCAGCAGCATGAGGTGGAACTACAAAGTGTGTTGATATGATACTGAAGCATGGAGCTAAAGTGAATGTACAGAATAATACAAGTGACAAACCACTTCATACAACAGCCGCAGCAGTAGCAACAACATCGGGTTGATGTACAAAGTGTATTAATGTGTTACTGAAGGCTCGAGCTAATGTGAATATACAGAATAATACAGGTGACACACCATTTCATAAAGCAGCAGTGTGTGGATCTACAAAGATTGTCATATTATATTATATATTCTATTTCTATATGGCCGACACAACTCAGTGAGTATTTTTCACCGCATTTGATACTCGTCATTGTATAGATGGAGTGGGGCCCAATGGGTGAAATTGAATCCTTACTTGGAAGCTATGTAGTCAAACACTTGACATAATAACACATATTCATTCATGTTACCAAAATCGGCCTCGGAGTCTGTAACCAACCCACGGGACAGCCTCGAAAAGGACTTTGGGTCATTATTACTTAAAATATCGTCAAAGTCCCTATCTTTTATACCCAAGCTCATCTTTATTAGACAATACATCCATGCTACCCGGACTGGCCCTTCTGTCCATTTGTCCGATACTCCAAAGGGAGTTAGAACCTTGACCATAACATGCAAACAGATATTATCCCCACCCTGTAATAAACAGATACATTGTATACATTTGTTTGTTATGAAGAGAAAAATACATTTATGGCTATAGGATTAACCCCGGGGTTCCTCTGGAAACATAGATCATAACATGGAAACGGTTCAGATCTTTATGCTACATTTGTATCTAGAGACGTACACGTTCATGCCGTCAGATTTGCCATCCGCCCCTTTTAAATGGTGAGTCAAAATTATGAAATATTTGCAGTATTATATTCATGTACAAAGCAAATGTATATTTTTGTCATGATTGCGTAAATATCGAGGTGAACGATACAGGCCCTATAGGCCTTTCGTATTAACATTGCAGTGTCTACATCCAGTTTGCTTTGACAATCATCAGATGATTGTAATACAGATAGAGCTCATTCTTAATTTCATCAGTCGTCAGCTAGGGGCATGGGTGGCAAGGTCGTCTAAGGCGCCGCAATTCGCTGTACACAGTTGCGCCCCTTTGGCACGCCTGAAACCTATGATTGTCGGTTCGAATCCCGGTTCACCCTGATAAGGTTTGTCAGCACTATACCCGTGCTCGTGGGTTTTACCAAAGTGGTAAATGTCTGAGACCGTTTCACAGGGCTTTCCTCCCACATTAAGCTGACACGCCTTGATATAACTGGAATACTGTTAAAAGCGGCGTTAGACCCAACTCATTCACCCACTCAGGCACTGCTGTTTATGATTCCTTATTCTAAACTGATGTATCAAATTCCCCCATACACTTTATTAATGTTTTTCTTTTTTCTCTTTACACAATCATATATGCATTGAACAACAACTGTTAATATACTTGTGCATGTGTGCTGGTATCATATAACACATGCATTACGTTTTTTTATCTGTTACTGAAGTGAATGTTATATCAATAATGATAAGTAACATAAAAAGAAACACTGGTATACTTTCATTTTTGAAGAACCAATCAATTCATTGTGGAAACATTTTCAATTACTTTTAAAAGTTACATTGATCTTCGTAAGATCAAAATAGATCCAAATTAAAATGAGGAGATTAAATTAAGGAGTCTCATTCATTTCAGTCAATCTGTCTAAAATTCAAGTCTCATTTTTCATGTGTTATGTATATTGACTGAAAATATAAGTCAATTTATACATTGCCTGAGTGATTCAGTCAATATACATATTGCCTGATATAAACTCTTGCTAAAACATATATAATACAATATGTTATATGCAAAAGAAAATAACATAAATAAAAGCATTTATCTACATGGAATGATTTTTGGGTTCAATTTGCATTTATGTCATCAGAATATTTGATTATAAACGTTCTTAAATCATATTCGCCTTATGATAATATCTAATAAAAAGACTTAAATCTACAGGTGTCTTGAAGTACTGCTGAATGAAAATCAGGATACATAGCTACAGCAGGATAGTGTTTTGTTTGAAAGGGAAATAACTTGTCAACATAAAAATATATATAACGTTACTAAAACAAGAAGATACAACTATGATTTACCTCTATTTATGTATCATACACGTCTTGTGGAGTAGTGTTTGTTGGAACGCATCTCTGTAATTTACCACTTTTTTTTAGAACATTATTATCAGAGCTCTGTAAGAAATGATGGATCAAAGAATTAACACCTGTCATGACTCAAAGCACTTTATGGTGGGACACATTTTACAAGGGGCAGATTAATATTGATGAATCTCAAAGTTTCAAAGTATGATGACTGGTATTTAAATTGCAACTGTGGAACTGATTGCTTGATAGATGCATGGTTTGTTTTCATTTTGTATATCACCTTTCTAAAAATCATGTAAGAATAACAAATTAAAAATCAGATGTAACTTTAATTTTGACATGAAAGTTACATTTAAATTCAGTTGTTTTATTCTGAATGTTATTTCGTTTTCTATTATTTGTAAAGGCACGGGTGTATACTTAAAATAGATCAGTGGTAAAGACATGTCAAAGATATCTGTATGCTGCAAATGTAGGCGTGTTTCCAAATTTGATCACATTGAAGTCCATGGTAGTATGAGAACTATTTGCTAAGATTTGAATGCTTGAATGCTTAGACTTGTCGTGGGAAATAACACAAAGGCTGATAAATAAAATGAGTTTGCATTATTTCATCGATGGATAGGTCAGCCCAGGCTGACAATCGTCACCACTCGCCCCTTTCCGTAACCTGCAAGAGACTCGTCCCACTATCGATGATTGTTATGTGCGAAAATACGACAAATCAATCAGAATGCGCGTATGACTTCAAGTTCTTCGTCAAAGAATCCCTCAGAAATATGTTTTTGATTTGACAAATGTCTTGCATCTTAAGATATACCAAAGACACAGTTAAATATTGTCAATCATACTGTATAATTCCGCATGTTCCGATGTACTTTAAATTGCATCTGAAATATATGTAATATATGGGGAAATATATGTGAACCGATATACAACGAGTAGACAATTGTTTTAGGTATGCCCGTTTCCGCTAAGATAGAACGACCGTTTATGAATGAAGGTGCAAGAGGGTAACGTTTTAGCTTGGCTCCGTCTCTTCCCTTTAGCGAAGCTCTCCATACTCCATGAGTGTAACGAAGATGTCACGCGCCGGGGAGGAGCTTGCAACTAGAACAAGGGGAGGTCACTCTCAACTTAAACTGCTGTGAGGACTAAAGAAAAACCTAGCCACAACAGATAACGATCGACATTCTATAACCCTTTCATGCATTGCTACTAAAATCATTAAAACTAATCTTTCACAGTTCATGTAGCATATTGTGAACGATACTTGCCTAGACTTTCCACAACGTGTAAATCCAACCATCAGCTGCTTTGTCAGTTTATGCCGAAATAGTTCTGGAAGTAGTGGCAAATCACAGGCGGACTGCCTCACTGTCTCACTCCAGTAGGACATATTGTTTGGTTATGCTTGATCCAATTGGTCATTGTAACGATATGCTTTCAGTCACTGGTTACGGTGGCTACTGTTAACGGGAGTGACGCTAATTGACCTCCCCTATCGCCGCCTCTCACTCACACCATGTATTCGACCAATATGTTAAGTGTAATCACATAGGCATATGAACCCCTGCAAGTCACTATTTGCTTTGCACATGCAAGGCACTATTTGACATTTTGTCATCGTACCCCGACGGCGTCAATCATTGTTTACAAAATTAATCATTGGATTGTCTCGTCCAGACTCTATTATGTACAAACCGCCGTCATACAGCTGGATTATTGCTGCGCGTGGCGTTCGAATCTCCTGTTTGCCATAATTACGTTTCTAGTTTTGTCAGTACCAAGACTATATTTTTTTAGTTCACCAAAGTGGTATACGCCTAATTGTTCCTTCACTAATATCACCATCTTAAGCTGACACGCCGTGATACAACTGAAATACGTCAAAATCAGCATTAAACCAAACTCACGAACTCAAAACAAGATGCCACACTACCTAAAAGAGACCTGTTTCACAAAGCTGTTCGATGCTGCTGTAGAAACGTTACCCCCATTCTCTAACAGGCGTGGGCAAGTCGTTGCTCTATTAATACATGGTCCACTTACTGACGTTTGGTAATAATTTGTACATGAAACTCTAGCTCCTTAACATGCAGATTCAATGAAGAATTTTCATTTATACACATCATGTTATGCTGTAAGTAGAAGCTAACTGAGTATCTTCAGTGGACACACTTCTTTTCAATCCAATTGTATGTCACTTTCAGATACCTTAATCCATTTAAAAAAAACTGACCCGAAACGGAAGGACAGTTGGACAGAAAAACAACGAGTGTATTGTTTCCGGCACTCCACATCTGTCACATTTATTACTCGTTTTGATTCTTGTTTTATGACAATACATGTTCCATGTAAATATGCAATGGCATGTCGTTGCTCTGGGTCATGAAGCCAGATATACAGTAAGAAAAACATGGTGCTAGGAAAAAGAGCCAGATATACAGAAAGAACAACATGGTGCTAGGAAATAAAGCCAGATATACAGTAAGAACAACATGGTGCTAGCAAATAAAGCCAGATATACAGTAAGAACAACATG